AAGCAGGTTTATTTTATTTATCTTTCATGTTTTTTTAAATATTTTGGAAATTGGGGATGCACCAAAATTTCGGTGGCCGAAAAATTTAGGCCGAAAACACCCCTTTTAGTCGTTGGCCAAAATGATAAAAAGCACTGATACAGGTGCCGAAAAATCCCTTCCTCTCGCCGCCGCCCTCCTGCTTGGTAGTTCTCAGCCTTACCTGTGAAACCATCGATCCAGGAGCTGGGCATAGAAATGAGTGAAGGAAAGATGGCCGCCACTCATCTCTATGCCCTTGGAGGACAGGAGCGATGTCACTTCCTGTTTTTTTTTTTTTTTTTTTTTTTTTTTTTTATATCCAATGCTTTACATTGTAGAGGAGAGATGTCTGGTATTACTGACCCCATATCTCTCCATAAAGAGGACCTGTCACTAATTATTTCTATAACAAGGGATGCATGCATCTCTTGTGATAGGAATAAAAGTGATTAAATTATTTTTAAAGGGACAGTGCACAATAAACCTTTTTTTATTATTTAATGTTTTATTGTTTTTGTTTTAAGTGCCCCCGTCCCCCCATGGTGAATGCATACGTAGGCCATGCCCACTTATGTAAACCGTGTTCAAACCGCACATGAGGTATCGCCACGAACGTCAGAGCAAGAGCAATAATTCACACACTAGACCTCCTCTGTAACTTTATACTGCTAACCTGTAGAGAATTTTAAAGCATATCCCATGGAGATATTTTAAATACCGCAGTTTCACGCCATTCCACGAGCGTGCGCAATTTTAAAGCGTGACATGTTGGGTATCTATGTACTCACCTTAACATCCTCTTTCATATTTTACAAAAAAATTGGGGTATATATTGTTTGTTTTTTTTTTTTTTGTTTTTTTAATCAGTGTATTTTTTTCTAAAAAATATATATTCATTTTTAAAAACTGCGCATTTCAGTTTTCGTCCAAGTAAATTTTGAAGTTTCAGTACCAGAATTTTAATTTCGGTGCACCACTATTGGAAATAGTTCTGCTTTAACCTCTTCACGCCGGCCGAATGCAAATGTGCGGCCTCCTGGCATCTGGGACTAGACGCCGAGCGGCCGCACATTTGCGTTCTGTTAAGAAAAAAAAACATATGTGCCGAGAGCGCGTGTCCTGCGCGCTCCCAGCACACATATCCGGTACTCACGGAAAGGTCCCGGTCTCCTCTTTCGAACGGGACCTTTCCCGATCATGTAACCGCCATGACAACGCGTCACGGCGGTCACATGATCCCTAAACCCTGCCCCATCCCGCATCCCGGCTTCTGAAACTCCTAAAGGGCCGGGAGGCGCCGGCGTGAAGGGGTTAATCTCAGCCATTGTATGGCTCTGCAAAGCAGAAAGTGGAGGCTGTGTCCATAAAAACAATTCATGGTCAGATTATTTACATTAAACTCTTTTTACATTTTAATTAACATCGATTTGTTCTATGTTTCCTTTATCGTACAGCTGCCACGTGAAGGGTGTCCTGCCAATGTTTAGATGTTGGCAAGACAAGCTGCAATTTTTGATGTTTTGTCATTCAGAGGGCAGTGGGCCGACTCCATGGTTTCCAGCTTCTCTCCTGTGTTTTATCCCGCCTTCTATTTTTCAGTAAGATTGAAGTTCGCTGGCGGAGTTGTTGGACTCCGTGCTCTTTGCCGCCTCTCCATTCTCAATTTGCTTTGTTGTTCTTTGTTTTGGCTTTTCTATTTCTGGCGTCCGATCCGTCACACAAGCCAGTTGCATTTCAGAACGGTTTTAAGTCAATTCTGCTTCCAAAGATGAAAGCTTAATGGCTCTATTGATAGAAAATTGACTGAGATTGCTTAACCTCCCTAGCGGTCTGATTATGTCCAGTATTTCTGTGCTCAAAGCGGTGCATTTTTTGCATGGTGTAACAGGGTTTTTTTCGGCAGCGGGTGTGTATGACCCCCCTGGATGGTTGCACAACAAAAAAGATAGCACAGCACAACAATAGTGGAGGTGAAAACAAACAGGTGCAATTTATTTACAATATTTTACAGAAAAAAATGATGAAAACCAAAAAAGAAACATCAAAATAAATCCTGGCCAACTTGGTTACTTACTGCAACAACAGCTTTTCCCTAAGCTACCCACTAGTACAGCCTGCTGCTATACCTAGTTGCTAGTACTGGGAGGTTAGCCACACAGGCTTTGGTAAAATCTGCACACAGATAACAGGTCAGCTCCCCAGACAGTTTCAGGCACAGATCTGGTTCCAGGGTGGAGCAACTCCCTAAGCACTCTGGGAAGCTTTATACAGGTGTTAATGAGCCCACTACCTTCAGCTGGGCTCAAATCTCATGCTGAAGGACTCAGCACTTCCCTCTAGTGGTACAAATCCCCCCCATTAAATTGAACCTCGGACAAATATATCGTCCATCCAGGAAACCAGTTGATTTCACCCTGCCTACTGTCACAATGGAAATATGTCTTTTTTTTTATGTAGGCCTGTAATTTTTAGGAATAACTCACTGAAATCTGTCCGAACAAGAGTCTAGTAAACATCCGGGTAGGATAAAATTTGAAACACGAAATCATAAATTATAATTTAATAAATAATCATAAAAAATATAATAATAATAAATTTAATTCAATAATAATATAAATCAAACCAAAAACACTGAAATGTGAAATATAGCGCCAAGTTCGCACATCGCTGAGCAAAGTCACAGAATCATTTTTCAGTGTCTGATGAGGAATTTCCCCCACGAATCATTATCACTCAATTCTGCAAGTGGTTCTGATTTACTATCGCTGTTCTCTAGTCGGTCTAAAACCACATCTGACCTAAAGGGACGCTTTTTGGACGCCATGGACGTTTCTCAGTTTCCAGGCAGAAAGAACAGTAAAAATGCAGGCAGGGCGCCGGACAAAGCACTCGGGACAATATGTATGTGAAATGGTTTGATACAGGAATGTTATACTATGTGATTTTAGTGGATTCAGTGAATGTCACTTTTACAATTTTCAAATTTCCTGCCGTTCCATCCCCCGTATGTCCTGTACGTCCCGACGTCCCAGGGAACGGAACCCAGAAGACAGATGCCGGGGACGCTGCAGGGGGGACATCGCGGGGAGCGCAGGACAAGGTAAGTGCAGAAGAGATCCCGGAGCAGCGCTGCAGTGTATTCCCGAGTGTAGCTCGGGGGGGGGGGGGGGTTTATCGCTTGTGGTGCTGAAACTTTACCCCGAGCTACACTCGGGAGTACCGTCAGGGTGGTTAAAGTATACGTTCGCTTTTATAATAAATAAATATATATATATCCATTCAGTCGTATCTGACCCTTGGTGATTGCATGGACCGTCACTTGTAAGCGACTTTTTCCATGAATTCTCTTACCAATTGTTTTACAGGGTAGGTTGCCAGGTCTTTCTGGTTTGCTTCCTCCCCCCCGCCTGTGAGTGAGTTTCAGGTATTTTTTTTGGGAGGGGCTACTGATTTTTTTTTTTTTTTTTTTTTTTTTTTGGTTCCTGCTTCTGCAGTCCTCACCAAGGTGAGGATAGCGCCCCTTGCCCCACTCCCTCCCCTCCCACAGCCTCCTGGTGCACATGTCCCAGAAGGCTGCAGTACTGTCCACAAGGCAATGAGCGAGCTGATGCACCTGCAGTGGGAAGTCGGCTGAGGTTCCTCAGAAAGCTATAGCTGGCTCTCACTGGGGATACGCAGGGGTAAGGACTATCTCTTCCCCGCCCCACCCCCCCATGTAACCTTGCTGGGCCAATCACCAGTTCTGTCACATGAGAAAGGGACATGGGGAAACAAAAAGATATGTGCTGCTAGGGAGGATGGTGTTAAAGGGATTGTGTTGTTTTACTTTTCATGGGCAGGTATTTATTAAAGCGGAGTTCCACCCAAAAGGGGGGGTTCCACTTTAAGGACTGCTCCCCCGCACCCCCATTAAGGATTGGCACCTTTGGGGGGCGGGGGGGGGGGAGAGGGTACCCGAATTTGACAGGTACCCGCTCCCCCTTCCGGTCTGATCGCCTAGGCGGTCGGAAGCGGAAGTTGTCCTCCCTCCCTATAGTCTTTTGGGACACTTGACAGGTTCCAGAAGACTACAGGACCATTCATGATGCGCACCGCTACTCACACATGCGCAGTGGGTACCCGGCTGTGAAGCCGCAAGCAGTCACAGCCGGGTGCCCACAATGAAGATGCTGGCCTCCTGGAATACAGGTATCCGGTGAAACGGGCTGCGGGGGACACACCACAGGACCGAGTGACAGGTAAGCGGCTGGCTGTTTTTTAAATGTCAGCAGCTACAGTTTTTGTTGATGCTGACTTTTATTTTTTGACAGGTTGAGTGGAACTCCGCTTTAAGCTCCAGATCGTTCTGTAATCCAGTTATATAAATGACATCCATGGCTCTGAAATTGGACATGTTCCCTTGCACCTTTTACCTGGACCCTCATTGTAATAGGTGTACTCACTGACCAATAGGAACTTGTTTCACGTGTTCATTTTTTGTAATTGTTTCCAACTTTAAAGCCGGGCGCCCATTGCACATGCGCGAGAAACGCTGAGCTTTGTGAATGGCTCCGTAGTCTTCTGGGACCTGTCACGTGTCCCAGAAGACTACGGGGAGGGAGGAGTGTGATCGCCTAGGCCAGGGGTAGGCAACCTGCGGCTCTCTAGCTGTTGTGGAACTACATTTCCCATGAGGCATTGCAAAGATTACAAAACTGACAGGTACAGCTTGACTTGCAGAGGCATGATGGAACTTGTAGTCCTGCGGCTCTCAGGTTGCCTACCCCTGGCCTAGGAGATGGGAGTGGGAGCGGATACCTGTCAAATTCAGGTACCCGCTCCCCAAAGGTGCCAATCCTTAATGGGGAGCGGGGGGACAAAGGCTTAAAGCTGAACTTCTCCTTTTGGGTGGAGCTCTGCTTTAAAGTAGCAGCTTGTACATTGTTAGTTTTAATGCTCCTTTTTTTTTTTTTTTTTCTTTTTTCATTTTTTCCGTTTTTAAGCCCACAACACAGCAGTCCCCCCAGGATGAGCAGGAGAAGCTGCTGGATGAAGCCATCCAGGCCGTGAAGGTGCAGTCCTTCCAGATGAAGAGATGTCTGGTAAGAGAAATTCACAGAGCGGGAGTGATTCCTAAAGCTGGGAAGAGAATGTAAACTTGCATGACAATGAGTTGCTTCCAGTTCTAGAAATGTTGTTGATGGATAAAAGTTAATTTCAGAACGTTTTGTGATTATTATTGTTGCAACCAGTTGATTGGTCTTCAGCGATCTCCTCCTGCCTGGTGCTGGTTTGGGAGAAGCTAGATTTCCAGTGTAATAGACTTTGTGGCAGGGTGGATTTGATTTAAATCATATAAATCACTAGTGAAAAGGCTCGATTTTAAATTGTAATTTTTAAAGAGCAGCTGTCATCTCTGTCCTGCAGCGACTTCTCCTCTGACCCGCTGTTGACTTACTGACCCGTCCCATTCACTTTAATGGGACGGCTGGTGATGCGGCAGGGACACCACAAAGTGAGGGACGTGGCGGCAGCTGGTGAGTGGATGCCCGCTAACAGGCGTTGCCACGATGGATCCAAAATGACAGGTGCTCTTTAAATTATTATTATTATACAGGATTTATATAGCACCAACAGTCTGCTCTTTCAATGTAAGGAATCCGACTCATTCTTGCTGGTAGTTAGACTCTTTCATATTTGCAAACCAAATGAAGGTTTCCTTTTCAGAATAATAAGCTGTCAGGTTAGTAAAACAGCGATATCGGAAACCGAAGGTTCATCACACACAGCTGGAGAACGACTCAAATTCTTTTATTTCATATTTTTTTTTTTCTCATGGTTACTGTGAAATTGTGTGAATGCATCAATGCAGTGCGTGTGATCTCAGCTTGCAGAGCTTGGATTCATTGAATGAGTTTACCAAAAATGTATATATTGCAGAATATACAGCCTCGTCCTACATAACTAAGCTCCATTTCATGCTGAATAAACAAAATTATTCATGTATCTGAAATAGATTTTTACTGCAAAAGCATTTTATTAAAATAAATGTGCTAAAAATAAAAAAAATCTGATTTAAATAGGAAAACAAAAAAATGTTTTTTTTTTTTTTTTAAATCATCAATTTTTATCCACCCTGCTTTGTGGTTACAGTTTCTAGGACTGGATTCAGAATAGAGATTCCTTCTTTGTTTGTTTTTTTTTCACACCACCGGTGTTCCACTGGGGATGAGGTGGGAAAAAACTATCTTCACTTTCTCAACTCAACAGGAAACCAAAGGAAATCTCCCCAGAATAAGGAAAATCACCTCATTGACAGCTGTTAACTGGAACCAGTGTCCAATTGGAAGGTTTCCCCTCTGTTCCTATTCCAGTGAAAGCTCAAAAATTGTAGGATTCCCCTAACTTTTTCACCATTGGTGTTCCATTGTGTTCAAATCCTCTCCCATTGAGGACCATTATCTCCACTTCCTGTCCCATAAACTCCACCGGAAACAAGAGGAAATCTAGTAAATCTAAGAAGGTAAATCACCTCTTAGACAGTTGTCACTGGAACAAGCGTCCAATTGAAAGGTTTCCTCTCTAATCCTGTTCCAATGATGGCTCAAAATGTTCCAATTTCCCTTCCAGCTGGAGTGACAGTGGTCACCTGGACAAAAGGAGTAAAATCTTCCCTGTGGGGACTCGGCAATAAAAACCTGATACAAAAGTAATGGGATTGCTCCCACTCTGTCAGTAGGGCAGTGCCTGTGTTGAAAAGAATGTATCAGGGCAAGCTTTATAGATCTGAAATATTTATTGAAGGTTGCAAAAGAGGCATCACATTTTGCGGATTTACACCTCCTTTATTAGGATTTGCTGCTTGAGCCTGCAGTGAAAGAGGCAACAAAAGAAGCTGAAAATGCTATGTAGGGTAATTTAAGAATTAGAGCTGTCAGTGCAGCTAGAGATGCCTATCAGGACCCACTTCAATTCAGAAAAAGCTTTGGCTTTACTTTTATTCACAGTCCTGATGACGTGGATCCAGGTACCTGAGACAAGCTCATGTAATCATGTGAATGTGGCAGCTTACGGGGCTCATTCAGAGCGGATCTAGTGAGAGCCGCTGGCGGCATGTTCTCCGGGTGAGTACCACCGGATGTACGGGCAGGTTGAATATGTTCTGGGCTCCGGGCCAAAGCGTGATTGTGTCCTTGCCTTCCCAGCCCTGAGATGGATGCGGGCTGCCCGGGAGGTGGAGCGCATGTGTGCCTGCCCGCATGCTAGTGACCCTATGCGGAGCTCTATTTAAGGGAAGAGATCGACAGCAATGACAAGCGGATCTAGTGAATGCGGGCTCCGGGGAGAGCAGATCTAGTGAATGCGGGCTCCGGGGAGAGCAGATATAGTGAATGCGGGCTCCGGGGAGACCAGGAATATAGTGAATGCAGGGTCCGGGATCTATAGTGAATGCGGGCTCCAGGGGGGAGCGGATCTAGTGAATGCAGGGCCGGGGAGACCAGATATAGTGAATGCAGGGTCCGGGGAGAGCGGATCTAGTGAATGCGGGTCCGGGGGAGAGAGCGGTGATGCAGGGTCTAGTGAATGCGGGCCGGGGAGACCGGTGAATGCAGGGTCCGGGGAGAGCGGATCTAGTGAATGCAGGGCTCCGGGGAGACGCGGATCTAGTGAATGCGGGCTCCGGGAAGACCGGATATAGTGAATGCAGGGTCCGGGCTCTGGGGAGCAGCCGGGGAGAGTGGATCTAGTGAATGCGGGCTCCGGGGAGAGCGGATATAGTGAATGCAGGGCTCCGGGGAGAGCGGGATATAGTGAATGCGGGTCCGGGGAGAGCGGACTAGTGAATGCGGGCTCTCCGGGGAGAGCGGATCTAGTGAAATGAATGCGGGCTCCGGGGAGAGCGGATCTAGTGAATGCGGGCTCCGGGGAGACCGGATCTAGTGAATGCGGGCTCCGGGGAGAGCGGATCTAGTGAATGCGGGCTCCGGGGAGAGCGGATTAGTGAATGCCTCGGGCTCCGAGACTCTAGTGAATGCGGGTCTAGTGAATGCGGGCTCCGGGATTCATGTCAGCCGGACATAGTGAATGCGGGCTCCGGGGAGACCGGACACTAGTGAATGCGGGCTCCGGGCCTGACATAGTGAATGAGGGTCTGGGGGATTAGTAACACTTAAACTAGGCCTCGTACTCCAGGTGTTCTGTGTGTAGCGGTTCCATTCATGTCAGCTGGGATGCAGTGGCTGCATGGACACACTGTGAGTGCGGGTGCCTGGCTCTGAATAGAGAGCTGAGAGATTTACTGAAACTGGAGCTCTCAGAATCTGGTTCAGCTGCGCATGGCGGCCAATCGGCTTCTAACTTCAGCTTGTTCAATTAAGCTTTGACAGTTTAAGTAAATCTCCCCTGTGTGCTTCTCCGGACTCTGCACTCGCATGGCTGTCAAATTGTGAGCATTGGCTGTGCCCCAGTTGACACGAATGGGACTGCCTGCACACAGATGTATGGAACACCTTCGCATCCCCATGCAGGCAAATACGGCACCCCTATAGTACACCCATATGAATGGGGCCTTACCATCCGGGTTTCAGACTACTGCTATTGTGTAAAAGGAATATTTTGGTCAGAGGTCACATGTCTGTCGTCTCCTTCTCGTTTGTCTTTCCTGTTTTATGTTCCCTTGCACAATATCAGAGACAAAGTTTTCTCATTCCCTTTTTGGGGCATTTTTCAGATTTTTTTTTTTTTGCAAAAATGTGATTTGTATACATTTAGTTAAAACTAACCTGTATTATTTTTTTTTTTCTTTCAAAATTATGTTTTTATATTCTTTTATTGCTTAGTAGATTTAAGCCATTCGCTAAAATCTTATATATTATTATTTAACCTGTTACTGTAATACTAAAAAGTCACTTTCCATCTTTTTAAATCTGTATCTTTCATTAAAATAATCTGTGGTGATCCTGCCATGATGGTCCTTGTTCAGGCAGTTACTGTTCTAGGGTTCTGTCTCTGGCTCCCAATAGTTCTTCTGTGTTGCAACTAACAGTATGCTCTCCTATGGACACAGCTGATCACGTGATGTGGTAAAGGGCCAATCACAGCTGCCTTTTACCACGTGATCAGCTGTGTCCAATGACACATCAGATCACCGGGTAAACACAGTTGCCGGTTATTGGCTGCACTTTTCCTCACGCTGTTACAGTGTGAGGAAAGTACTGCCGACAACCGGCAATTGTCAGGGAGCAGATCGACACTGATGATCAGTGTCACCCACCTGTGCCGCCTGTCAGTGCCCATCATTGCTGCATACCTGTGCAGCAGCATCAGTGCCGCCTATCTGTGCCATCATCAGTGCCCATCATTGCAGCCTCATCAATGCACATCAGTGCCGCCTATCTGTGCCACCTCATCAGTGCAGCCTCATCAATGCACATTAGTGCTGCCTATGTGTGCCATCTCATCAGTGCAGCCTCATCAATGCACATCAGTGCCGCCTATCTGTGCCACCTCATCAGTGCCCATCATTGCAGCCTCATCAATGCACATCAGTGCCGCCTATCTGTGCCACCTCATCAGTGTCCATCAGTGCAGCCTCATCAATGCACATCAGTGCCGCCTATCTGTGCCACCTCATCAGTGCCCATCATTGCAGCCTCATCAATGCACATCAGTGCCGCCTATCTGTGCCACCTCATCAGTGTCCATCAGTGCAGCCTCATCAATGCACATTAGTGCCGCCTATCTGTGTCAGCTCATCAGTGTCCATCAGTGCAGCCTCATCAATGCACATCAGTATAGGAGAACAATTACTTGTTTGCAAAATTTTATAATCGAAACCAAGAAGAGCTCTTTTTTTTTTGTTTGTTTTGTTTATAGCTCAAACAATAAAACACCCAGCGGCACTTAGATACCACCAAAAGAAAACATGTGTGAAAACATTTAGAAAAATTTCATTTGCATAACCGCGCAATTGTTGGCGAAAGTGTGACTGCGCTGAAAATTGGTCTGGGCAGGAAGGGGGGGGGGGTGGTGTAAATACCCGGTAGGCAAGTGGCTAACTGACAATTGTGCGATCATGCAACGCCGCATTCAAATGAAACTT